TTTGAACTGCGCCGGCTGTAATGCAAAAAATTCTAGTTGTGAGCAGCAACTAAAACGAAAATAATATTTGTAATGAGAGATGCAGAATTTTTTAACAATCTAAACTCTATTTAAGACATCAACACATTTAAATTATATTTAATAACAATAAAAAGAAATAGCAAATCAAGACATGAGATTTTGCTACAGGTGTTCGACATGTCGACCGTCTTCTGTTATGGATAGACGGGACCGTTTTTCAACATTTCTCGCAAAATTCATTAACTCAGTGGATGTCAAAGATACCCTCGCATAACCGTTAAGTACTTCTAATTCTTGTCTAGATACGGGCTAATTTAAAAATAAGAACCTTTATTCTTCCGCAAAGATAAAAATCCATAGGCGCTAAGTCCGGAGACCTCGGCGTATTCGACGGCCAACGGCTGAGATCTTCGTAAGCTTTTCAAATATTCTCGAAATGCGTTCCAAAAATTTGCTGATAACAATAATATAACAAAAGAATAAATAACCAGAAGAATCAATTTTAAAGCTGTGCCTCGTGTTGCTGGAAAAATATGTTTTATAGTTCCATTAGGAACAGACTATCAATAAGGAGTCCAAAGCCTACTAGTTAAAAGGGGCTAAATTTTAAAAATTCTGTATATCGAAGGGAACTATAACAAAATATCAAGTATGCTATATTTTTTTGGAAAGGTAATTTTAAAATTAAAAAAGTTAATTATACTCAGAAGAAAGCTAATTATTTTCGGTTAAATAAAAATATACAGGGTGTCCCTAATAAGAAATAAATTTTTCTGTTGATGACTCTTAAATTATTAGTTTAAAAAAATTATATTAAAACCATTATATTCTACGTAAAAAGATGCTTTGGAAATCTTTTCATAAAAATTCAAAATTTGCATAGCAAAAAAAAAAGGTACAGCGATTTGTTAAAAATACACATTTTTGAAAAACATCCCGTAACTCCGAAATGGTAACAGATATGTGCGGTTCACCATCACGTTTTTGATAAAAATTGAGCTCCACACACCGATATTATTTTTCGTCTATCTGCTATAGGAGAGGGTGTTTCACTTTAAAAGCGTCCAATTTGACCCACCCTGTACAACGTATAAATATAAAAAATGAACTAAATTAAATTCAAGCTCAAGAAAATCGATGCATGTATAAGTTTTTCACTGTTTCTGTAAAGAGTTACATATCATTGAACAAAAATTATAGCCTAAGAGCTGACGACATATTTTAGGCAAGCTAGAATAACTAAAAATGTATATTTTATTAACTGGTGAACCCAGAATCCTAAGTCTGGCTGGGGGGTTGGGGGTATTTCGCTACTGCGCAACCCATAACATTTGCAAAAAAATAAATCCAAAAAACATTCATTAGGCAACTTGAAATTTGTTTATTCTTAAATTTTAGCATCTATTTAACCTAGAAATAAGTGTGCCAGACTTTTTTTTCGGGTTTAAAGTGTAACCAGACCATTCCAAATATATTTAATTATTATACCTGGAAAACATACTTTATGCATTCTAAATTTTTTACAGCGTGTTTATTAGATGATATTAAAAAATATGTGTTAATTGCCAGACGAATTCAATGGGATTTAATACTTGCCAGACGCGAATAAAGATTTTAAATGAGCGCGATAAGAAAGTCTTATGAGTATCTATAAGCGCGAGAAAGATAGTTTATTGATTACATCAGCCGATGCGGCTGACGTAACAGCATTTTGGAGTCGTAAAAACTTAAAAAAAACTAACTAATATTGAATAAATAAAAAGAAACATTTTTTAATAAAAATGTATGATTGCAATCCTTTCAATAGGAAGACTTTTTAATTTAAGTATTTTGTATCTGAAAGAATAAAAAGACGAATAATTATTTAAAAATTAGCATAATATAAAATATATTTTTTTCAAACGTCACAAAAGTATAATTATTATTATAGTTTTGTGACATATTATATTATTATTAATTTTTGCGACCTGATTGACAATATAAAAAAGTCATTTTAACGCCTAAGCATAAAAGTAAAGCACTTGTACTTACTTTTGAATCTATTTAGAAAGAGTATAATGGTACTTTAATAAAATTCCAGAATACTTATTTTTTTAGCACTGTACATGGTACCCTTTTGTCGAGACTACGTTTTCTTGTAAAACCACTTCTTTAAATTTTAATCCATGTTGTTGGCGCACTTTTAAAAATTCTTTGCATTTTTGTAGTCTGCTTTTATCAAAAACAATAACTTTGTCACTAGTAACTTTTTTACAAACTACACAACTTAAATGTTTTTTATCCATTGTGATTTAGTAGCTAGTAGCGAAATTAGTAGTTACCAAAATATTTATTTGCAGTAATTATTCTAAACTATTTACACTATGCACGTCAATATTTAATTTATAAATACATATTTGTACATGGTAACTTTCCAACAAAATAATCTCTGAATTAAAAGCCTGCAAATAATTGAAATGAAACCGAAACAAAATTGTTTTTATGAAAATTTGAAGTACTCCAAAATACTGTTACGTGAGCCGCATCGGCTGCCGACGGGTCTCAATAAACTATCTTTCTCGCGCTTCTAGATACTCATAAGACTTTCTTGTCGCGCTCATTTAAAATCCTTATTCGCGTCTGGCAAGTATTAAATCCCATCGAATTCGTCTGGCAATTAACACATATTTTAATATCATCTAATAAACACGTTGTAAAAATTTTAGAATGCCTAAAGTATGTTTTCCAGGTATAATAATTAAACATATTTGGAATGGTCTGGTTACACTTTAAACCCGAAAAAAAAGTCTGGCACACATATTTCTAGGTTAAATAGATGCTAAAATTTAAGAATAAACAAATTTCAAGTTGCCTAAAGAATGTTTTTTGGATTTATTTTTTTGCAAATATTATGGGTTGCGCAGTAGCGAAATACCCCCAACCCCCCAGCCAGACTTAGGATTCTGGGTTCACAAGTTATTAAACTTTATCTTTTTTGTTATTCTAACTTGCCTAAAATATGTTCTCTAAATATGTCGCCAGCTCTCCGGCTATCAGTGGTGGTCTGATACAGGCTATTTATCAATAAATAAATAACATCATATCGCTTAAAAGGATATTTTGTTGAATAAATGCTCTGATCACATAAAAATACGCGGCGATTATGCAATATAATCTGGAGCATTTGGCTGCGGCTTCCATAGTCGACTTTCTTGAAAAGTATTTGCTAAATTATGGCCGATGCCAGAAAAAATGTATAACTTCTCAACTTACACTCGTTTTAACGATACAATAATTCTTATCGCACTCGCGGTAATTCAGAGCAATTTGTTATTAAAAGTAATAATGCGTATATTTCGCATACCATTATCACACGGTCGGAATTAAATCGGGTGATAAAAATTTAAATGCTTTTACTCACTATCAGCGAGAACACCAAGAATGCATTATGGCCTTATAATGCTGCGCGTTCGATCATTTATTCTGAATTGTGACGCCGCGATGTTACTGGAGCATAATTCGGAGCAGTTCTTTTTGAGACGCTTCTTACGCGAATAAATTACTAGCGTGTAAAAGTTTCTTTTTAATAAACTAATTTTAGACGTTTACGAAAAACCGATAAATACAGACAGATATCTAAATTGTTCATCGAACCATAGTATAAGTGTGTGTGTAAAAGTGGTGTTATTAAAGCTTTATATGATAGGAAAAAAATTATATGCTAAAACATCAGTAATTTACTAAACACAGATCAGAAGGATATTATACAACATATAAAAGGTGGCCCGTGCATTAGAAGTTTCTGGAGAACTACAATATCTAGATCGGAGATTTTTTGCACATCATTGTTTTACAACGTGATCTCTCGATTAAAACTATTTTCATTATGGCGGCATTTTCGGAAATACCGGAAGTCGACAGCAACTTTCTTAATTTAAATGGATGCTCCCATTTTTTATTATATACTTAAATTATCTGTAAAATTCTACGAATATTGATGTAAAATACACTATACCTAATATTAACCGTTTTTGAGAAAAAGAAATATGTATTTACAATTTTTGATCGAAAAAACCAGCCTGTCAAAAAAAAATGCATAGCCTAAAAGTCAAATTTATTGATTACCATAGTCACTGTGACATAAAGAGAAGACATGCGGCTATCTATTTCAAAAATTAGATTGTTTGTTGTTTAAAATATCATATAATAATGGCGGTAGCTGTCATGAAATTGGGCGATATAAAGAGAAAATAAACCCCCCTAAACCTCCCTAAACAGACCCTCAGAGATATAGAGACACTCACAGGCTTATCAGAAATAAAATCAAAGAAGTCAAAGAACTGTGGATGACGGAGAGGTGCCGCGAAGTCGAGGAGCTCCACCAAAAACATGACTTGTTTAAACTACATAAAAAAAGTCAAAGAAGTCACTGGGAAACACAAACCTCGAACATGTACCAGAATAGTGGACGGTGAGAATAAACCAATCCTAACCGAACAAAAACTAGAGGAGGTATGGACCAATTACATAAGGGAACTGTTCGATGACGGTGGCCCCTCTTTTCAGAAAATGGCCTAGATATAATGATCTCAGAAATCGAGAGAGCTTTAAAGAACACCAAAAAACGGGAAAGCAAACCGGACAACATCTACCCAGAATTGATAAAACTAATAAACGGAGACAATTTAAAGTTATTGGTAAACCTCTTCAATTCTGTATACAATACCGGAAACATACCGCAGGACTGGCTAAGGTCGATATTTATACCTATTCCTAAAAAAACTGGTGCAAAAAGATGTGATGAGGTTCGTTTAATAAGTCTGATGAGTCAAGTCCTAAAGCTGTTTTTAAAGGTTCTGCATAATCGAATCCGAAGAAAATGTGCGATAGACATAAGTGAACAGCAAATGGGATTTCGCGAGGGACTGGAGACGAGATAAGCCCTGTTTGCGCTATCGGTGCTTTTGCAGAAATGCAGAGATCAACGAAAGGAGGTACACCTATGCTTCATAGACTACACGAAGGCATTCGACTGCGTCAACCACAGGGGATTGCTGAGCATCCTTGAAAGAAGAGGCCTGGATACCCAAGACCTGAAAATTATCCAAAAGCTATACGAGCAACAAGTAGCGACAGTAAAACTACAGGACACTGAAACAACAGCAATACCTATCAAGCGTGGAGTTAGGCAAGGATGCGTATTGAGCCCTATGCTCTTCAATATGTACTCCGAACTAATATTTCGAAATGCGCTTGAGGGATCAGAAGACGGCATAAAAGTGAATGGCAGGCTGATTAACAACATGAGATATGCTGATGATACCGTCGTTATTGCAGACACCACTGAGGGCCTGCAAAGACTTCTTGATAGACTGTCCTCGGTGGGCGACTCAATGGGTCTCAGGATAAATACAAACAAAACAAAAGTCATGGTGATAAATAGAGATGCAAGACAGGCAACGGAGGTAGTCGTAGGTGGGACACCAATAGCAAGAGTCTCAAAGTTTAGATATTTGGGCAGTTGGATTAGTGAAGACCTAAACCCAGACATTGAGATCAGAGCTCGAATTGAGATGGCTAGATCAAACTTCCTAAAATTGCGGAACCTACTGTGCGATAAACGTCTCAACATCCATATAAAAGACAACTTCGTCAAGTGCTACGTACTTTCCACACTTCTCTACGGGGTTGAGTCATGGACACTCAAAGTAAGCGTAATGAATAAGTTGGAAGCATTTGAGATGTGGGTATATCGCAGAATGCTGAGAATACCATGGACTGACCGTGTCTCGAATGAACGAGTTCTAAACCAAATGAACAAAGACCGAGAACTCCTCGACATAATAAAAAAGAGGAAAGCAGCCTATTTGGGCCACATCATGAGACATAGCAAGTATGAATTCCTTCAGATCATCATCGGGGGTAAAATTGAGGGAAAGCGCGGACCCGGACGACGGCAATGCTCCTGGCTGAAGAACATCAGAGATTGGACAGGCCTGGACTCACATACTTTGCTGAGAAGAGCGAAAAATAGAGAGGAATTTGCCATGGTTGTTGCCGACCTTCACAGAATGGAGAAGGCACTTTAAGAAGAAGAAAGAGAAAATAGTCATAAATCATTTTTTTTTCAAATGGAAAACTTCTTTTCTATTTCACTAAAAAAAAGGATTTTCAATTCGTTACGTTTTTTCGTTTTTAACTTATTTTAGATTTAATTTTAAAACGTATATTTTCCTTTCTAGCTTTCTTTCATTCAAACAATCAGAAAATTTATTTCCATCTTTCGCAAAACTAATTATTTGAATTTCCTATATTATAAACACTGCCTGCTTAAACTTGTTAAAGTGTATTTCTAAAAATATATCTCGCATTTTTGCTCTTTAGTGATATCTAATAATTTAACGATCAAATGAACTTACCTGAAGTTCGATCGTAATTATATGAGGCATCCAGTCCAAAGATGTTAATTATTTCACCATGTAGTCCGCCTTTTCGTACTACCTATCCACAAGATTTTAAAGACGAACGCGTCCCCACCACCAGCTCTGCGTCTGGCAGCTGAGACCCGTCCGTGTGTTGTACGCCATCATTTGTTTAAATAATGCTTAATTTGCTTTAATTCATAACCAGTAGGGGGTGTGGTTGGGGGGGATATTAACATCTTTGGACTGGATGCCTCATATAATTACGATCGAACTTCAGGTAAGTTCATTTGATCGTTAAATTATATTTCGGCATCCAGTCCAAAGATGTTAATTATTTCACCATGTAGATGTTTAAAGATATTATGCTGGTTATGAATTTGGGGAAAAGAAATTAACGATAAACCATTTGCAAAAATATGCACAAATAATCACTATATTTAAAACACACCCGTTAACATAATACAGCCTTTGAAATAGGAACAAGTTTTTATCTTTTAACACAGTAAGTACCTATAAGTATAAAGTAACTAGATAATATTTGGTAAAATCTACTATACCAGTATCAAAAAATATATTAACAAAAGATAATATTATTCACATCAAAAATATTTTAAAACAAAACATTACTTCAGATATTAAAATATTTGTTGCGAATTTTTCGCGTTCCATTAGGGGTCGGTTATAGAACTTTGCAAAAGTCTCCGAGTTCTTGCTCCAACCTGCCGAATCTCTGATTATATCCAGTGAGACGCCAGCCCTTTGAGCTGCTGATGTCGAAGCGTGTCTACATGAATGTGCCTTAAAAATACTGACATCGATGCCTGCCATATGTAATGCAGACTTAACCCATCGACTTAATGTTTGTTTGGAGGCAACTTTGTGAGGCTTTTGGAAAGTTATGAACAACCTATCGCAACTAGGTTCCCTAATCTTTTGCGATTCTTCGATGTATTTTTGTAAGCAGGAAACAACACATAAACTTGGTTTGTCACTAAACTTAGGTATTAACAAACAGGGTTGTTTTCTACCAACACCTGATGTTTTTATTTGATCGTCAATAAACATCTGAATATTTGACCCGCACTCTTTTATGTTAGATAATTTAATAAGGGATAAAGTTTGAATTCTTTGACCGGTGGCTAATGTTAAAAGTGTTATGAGCTTAACTGATAAAGTTTTAAAAGAGTTTGGGGGGTGATTTTCAAAATAATCAAATATTTTCTTAGGATCCCACGTAAAATTATAACGTGGTTTCTGAGGTCTAATTTTAGACACACCCTTCATAAACCTTTTTATTATCCTATTATTCCCGATATCTCCTGGGAGTATTAACGCCAAAGCCGATCTATGTGAATTGAAAGAACCATAAACATTATCTGATTTTCCTAACATGGACTGTAAAAATGATAAAATATCTTGGGTGTTACCTACAAACGGGTTTAGGTTGGATTTTTCACAAAAATTCCACCAAAGTTTATATGTTGTCCCATACTGCTTAATGGTAGACGCTGATAAGGACTGTATAGTTGTTTCTACTGCACATTCAGGAACTCCTTGAAGAATTAAAGATCTCCTGATAGCCTCGCTGCTACCAGGGAAAGACTCGCAGATAGAGGATGCTGGTCCAGGCTAAAAGGAGAAGTCAGTAGTTTTACATTTGGTTTAAATATAAGTGGTTCTTTACAACAAAGTTTTTTGAAGAGTGGATACCATACTTGACTTGGCCATAAGGAACCACCAAACACCTTCAGCTTTATCTGATATTATTTTTGCAAAACTCTAAAATGAGAGCGAAGGGAGGGAAAGCATAAAATTTTAAATTTGTCCACGTGAGTGTAAAGGCATCACATGCATATGCGTCTGGATCTTTTAACCATGATACGTACTTAGGACACTTGCAATTGTTATTAGAAGCAAAAAGGTCTACCTCAATAGGTCCTAGCTCAGCTTGTATGAAAGAAAAAGCGTAGTCTGCTAGGGACCATTCTGTTTCTGGCTGTAATACCCTAGACTCCAAATCAGCCCTCCAGTTGTCTTTTGTATTGATGTAAGACGCAAATAACCACAAATTGCGTTCTTCACACCATTGCCAAATCTTTTTTGACAACTCGTGAAAGTGAGTGTATTGGACACTACCCATACGATTTATACAGGCAATGGCTGTGGTGTTATCACATCTTACAAGAACACTGCAATTTCTTAAATGTTTTGCAAAACATTTGAGCCCATAATAAACCGCCTGCAATTCTAAAAAGTTTATGTGTTTTTTCTTTTCATCTAATGTCCACCAACCGTGCGTGTTTTCGTTATTGCAGTGTGCTCCCCAACCTGTGAGGGAGGAATCAGTGTAGATTTCTAGCTGAAAACAGTCTTTTTTAATATCGTTTTTGGAATTGATATTATTTAACCACCAAACTAAATCAGAGTGAAAAGAATTAGTCATTTTTGCGTTATAGTTCATGTTATTTTGTTTCAAAGCCTGTATTTTTTCTCTCTCGAATACTTTGGTATAGAGCCATCCGTATTTTATTGCCGGACAGGCTGATACTAATATTCCAATGAACTTCGCAAACTGTCTTATCTTAACACTCTTTTCCTTTTGAAAATATTTAATGTGATCTATTATTTTGTTTTTCTTTTCGACGGGAAGTTCAATCTGTAGACTGTCCGTATGAAAAATAAATCCAAGAAACTTGCAAGTTTGGGACGGATTTAAAACACTTTTTTCTTGATTAATAATAAAGCCAAGTGACTCAAGTATTTTAACAGTAAGTTCTGTTTTTTGCTTACAATCCGCCATAGTGTCGCCAAATATTAAAAAAATCATCTAAATAATTAACGCATGTGATACCTTTTATTCTGAGTTCCTTAATAACCGGTTTTAAAATTTTGGTGAAGGCGTGGGGTGCGGATGATAAACCAAAGGGAAGACACGTAAACTCGTACAAGGTATCATTAAAGCTAAATCGTAAGTATTTTCGATGTTTAGCGGCCATAGGTACTAAAAAATAAGCATCTTTTAAATCTATAGATGAAAGAAAACAATCTTTTTGAATTAGCCTTAAAACAGTTCTAGTATCTTCCAACTTAAAATGTGGGGAATTTACATGCTTATTAAAATTTTTTAGGTTAAGTATAAACCTTTTTTGTCCATTTGGTTTATCTGCCAAAAAGAATGATGACAAAAATTGATCAGAAAGTGGCTCGCACTTCACGATCGCACCCCGTACAATAATAATAGAAATAAATAATACTTATTTATTTCTTCGAACAGAAGGAGAAGTTCCACTTTCGAAAAGGAAGGTGTTTTTGGAAGATTTGTTTGTACTGGAACTTGAATTAATGGGATTACATACCCTTTAATCCATTCAAGAATGATGTTATTGGATGTAATGGTAGTCCATTCTTCATAAAACTTGCAAAGTCTACCTGAAATAATATTAGTACTTACCAAATTTATTTTTTCCATTTGTGCTTTTCTTTGATTTCCTTCGAGGTTCGCCCTCTGTACGACCCTGTCTCCCTCGGATGACGGGCCGGGCGATACCTGTTTAAAGTATAGCTGGCTGGTTGCTTTCCTTGCCCCCCTCCCTTTTTTCCTGATGTTTTTTGTACTGAGACCGGAGCCAGAGGTTTAAAAACAAAGGTTGAAGCGGAAGGTTTTATGTCTTTACTCGCTGCTTGTAAGTTTTTTGCTGTTTTTACTATTTCGGATAAATCGGGCCCAAAAAGCAACTCCGACGGAGGACATTTCTCTAGTAGCTCCTTCATGTCCTTATTCATATAAGGATATAGAAAACTACGACGTGCCATGGACAAATCAGTGTATAAACTTGTTAAAAGACGCCCCGAATCTGACAACTCGGGAAGTAGTTTTTCCTTGTAAGCAGGAGGTAAATTTTCGCTTTCTGTTAGGATATTATTTATTCCTTTTCCTAAAGCAGTTAAGGCTAAACCCAGTTTTGTCTGAAACTGTACATAAGCCTCGTCTTTTTTCTTGATATTATTTGGAATAATTCCTTTTATTTCGGGATTAACTAATGGGGGTGACAACAATTTACAATTTGATGGAATTTTGTACTTTTGAATTATATTGTCGTGGTCACTTTTTGCCAACCCATTAGTTAGAATGTGACTCCATCTGTTGGCAAGAGCTGCATGGAGTCTAAATGTTTCGTTTTCCTTCGAGGATGGGTCTTCTCCTAAAATATTTAAAACATCTTCAGGTAATGTAATATCGTTATGAATGACCAGTTCATCTGATATATTTGGTGATTGTGTCGTCATGTCGCCCGGACTATGAGCTACACTCTCTGCTGTGTTTGCCGAGACGCTTGGATCTCGGGCTATACATCCCGATCTCACAGAAAAATGTGAGGATTCTCTAAACGACCTTTCCATCACGGCATTTAGTGAACTAGGAGAGCGTTGTCGTGACCGTACTCGACGTTCTGTGCAAGAACGTGATCGAGAACGACCGCGATGCTCCTTTCTATGCTGGCGTGATCGTTCTTTGCGGCCCGCACGGGAACGCGATCGTGAACGTCCGCCATGTTTAGATTTCTTTTTATACTGATTTTCTAATTTCTCGAGTCTTTTTAACAATTCTTTCTTTGACAAGGAAGAATCTGACTCACTACTACTACTACTACTAGAGGATCGATGTCTCTTTTGATTTGGTTTACCCATGACTACAAAAAAGAAAAGATAATATTTCGATTAGTTTACTTACGTATTTTGACGGAGCGGCGCACGACAACAATCTCGCGATAGCACAAGAAGGCGAATGATGGCGTACGACACACACGGACGGGTCTCATCTGCCAGACGCAGAGCTGGTGGTGGGGACGCGTTCGTCTTTAAAATCTTGTGGATAGGTAGTACGAAAAGGCGGACTACATGGTGAAATAATTAACATCTTTGGACTGGATGCCGAAATATAATTGATATTTTGGGTATAGGGACATATATATTCAAAAAGTATACCACTGACAAGCTGATTTCTATGTGTATTCAAAGCAGTTGTATTTACAAAAAATGCCTTTTTTGTAAACACTTTTTATTTTGCATATTTATTTTCCAGTGGGGTTACGTTTTTCCCTAGAAGAGACTGGGTGCACCAAGTACATTGTGAGTGTGGTGAGTCGTATATTAGAAAAACTAATCGTCTTTTAATTGTAAGACATAGCAAAGAATTGAAACAAGAAGTTAGATATTGCAAACCATAGGTGTGGTCCAAGCATCACAACATAAATTAGTTGAAAGTAAAAAACATTATGAAACAGATCAATATAGTCTAAATTAAACAAAATCTTTGAAAGCCTTTGATTCAAGAAGTACCTAGAAGCATTACATGCTACTTAAAAATATTTTTCCTGTCAATGCCAATACTTGTTAGGTCTGGGAAAAATGAGCCGAAAGAAAAAATATCCCTATAATGTTAATAAGGTAGCGGCAACGCATGTTAATTTTCTTTCTGACTCGCCTCATTACTCATCATTTGTCCGGGAACTAATTAAGACTTCTTATTGCATGTAACTACAATATTTCTTTTGCTAATTTTTAGCGTGGCGTATCGAGGTCGACTTTACATTAACGTTTTGTTATATTACGCGTCAATAAATTCTTCCTTAAAAGCGTCAGCGGCATTTACTTCGAAGATTCATTTATTGTGCCTACCAAATTCAATTAATATTGTTAAAAGTAAAATCTTGACTATCATATATCCTATAAGATGGATTTTTATAAATAAATTATTTATAGAAAGTTTAATAAAATATCATATTGGTTTGGTTAGAAAATGGACCAGTTTTATAGGTTTATTCCAAAAAATGACAGATTATATTTCAATATTATTGGCTTGTCTGAACGATGAACGACAAACGGACGCCGATACGTATGAACTCGACTAAAGATTTTTGAGAGCTGTCAAACTCTTGCCAAATTATAGGTTATAATTTTGTGTTAAATTAAGTAAAATAGAAATGATAAATATTTTGCATTTTGCTCTTTGCATTTTGGATGGTGCTATTACGTGTGTTTCGTGTTTTTTTTTAATTAAGTGGAATAAAACTAGAGGGAAAATATTAAGTGTTGACTGTGTTGACCAAGACCATAGTTTACATTTAATATTCAGTGCCTGGAGACCGCCAGAGATAAAGTTTGCCAGAGAGTTGTATTTGCCAGAAATAAAGTTTGTATACCATCTCGTATATGGTACCAAAAACAGGTGTATCTGCAACTTGAAAAGCAGAACTTTTGCCTAGTTAGTGGAGAGTCTGCTTCTTTTCTAACTGGATTGTTTGATTTTCCATTACCTTCTATCGCTTAGTGGGATGGCGCCCAAAGTACAAGGACTTTTTAATAATAAGTCCTTGTTATATACTAGTATTTTCTTTCCTAATTGTCCAGCTCTTCTAAACACTCTGACAAATTTCGAATTGATGGTTACTGAGGTGAACGATCTCCTTCATCTCGTTGTTCTTTTTTTCTGTGAATAATTTCGATGGCATACGGTAAGTTTTACTTTTATGGGTTTCTATTTCTATAGATTTAGAAAATGTAATTAAAGATTTGTATTTTTTCCCAAACTAAAGAATCTTTTCTTAAATTCCACATGATTAAATATTTTCTTGCTTCTAAAAAGACAGCTAAATTATTTATTTGGTAATTTTCAATGATGTTTCCTAAATAGTAGCTCTATATGGTTATTCAATTTGCACCAGTACGATTCAGGAAAGCATCAGGTTTAACAGTGGAATCTTACGAGCTGTAAGCAAATGCTAAAAAGTGTAACAAATTATATAAATGGATTTTGGAGGTGTATCATTTGGTCTAGATAGAAATGTTTACACAGATGCTGGTTTGACATACAAGGTGACCTGCAAACTGAACTGGTCAGCCAGTAAAAGCCGATAAGAAATAATAGTTTGTATGGTGACTTTTTAATAATTATTAATAAGTTAGAACCTGATGTTATTTTTTAAACCACTCTAAAATTGTTGTTAAGTTTGAATATATCAATTTTGGTTGGTTGCGAGAGAATCAGTAGAAGACGGCGAAGACGTTGAAGATGTTCCTGTAAGTACTTCTTTAAGTATACCTTAAGTCTTGACATTTCATGAAATTGTCCCAATAATTTTATCCACACTGTAAACCTTATGCTAAATAAATGTGTTTGTTCTTCATGGTTGTTTTGATTAAGAGAGAGAACCTGGTATAACGACCCTAGCGAACAACCCCCAAGCTAGGTCGCGACAATATTTCAGATATATTTTGGATGATATAGAAATGGGTACGACGAAAACTTAGTGGTACTGGGTACTACTTCGGAAACTTGTTTCTTGGTGCTGTTTCACATCATGTTGTTTCCCTCCCTAAGATGTGGAAGAAATCAAATTAAATTTTCGCAAAAAGTACAATCCACCAGCTCAAAAAAATTGT